ATGTTCTTCCAGAACCTCCGCCCTGCCCCGAGTAATCTGGCGGAGCTACGCACTACAGTAGATGGCTATCTTATCAGTATTACAGTGGAGACGCTGGCCCGATCTTCTAGATGCTCGCATGTCTGCCCTCCCGATCTTCAGCTTGACTATCCCCAGATGTGGAGGCCGTCTGACGCAGACATGGCTGTGGCACTTATAGGCCACTATAGTGAGGGCAAGACATTTGCTACTCGGACCTATTTACCCAATGATCTGTGGTTCTTTGATTCGGTCTTGTACCGAAATGTATTTATGGCTGGCCACAAGATTCAGAGGCGCGGTGACTATCTGGCAGCCCTTTATGCTTTCTACACAGGGCACTGGCTTTCTATTCTGGCCCTATATTAGAGTGTCATGATGAAGCTTTACACAGACTATATCAGCAAGGCCAAGCCCAAAGGGACTAAGTTCCTTCCCTTCGGTAATCTTATCACTCAGATACTCCGGGATCGGCACTACCCATTCCATCCCCGGGAGCATACTGAGTCTAGAGCCTGCCGTTTCTACTGGAAGGATTGGAACAAGACTTACAGTGCCCTAATTAAGAGCCTACAGGAGGATGCACTCATAGCTACAGAGGAGGCAACAGCAGCAGCAGCCGCAGCGGTAGCAGAGGCAGACGCACCAGCAGCAACGGACGATCCAGCAGTCAATCCGGCTGCCATACATTTACATATAGACTTGGAGCAGTATCCTGTAGAGGATCTACAGCATTACTTTCCAGTGGGGTCACCATTATATTTCCAGGAGCAGGCTCAGGATGCACATCATTCTCCTGATCCAGTGGTACCTGAGGCTCCAGCACCGACACCTAGCTTTGGAGAGTGTATCCAGGCTTTGGAGGATGCCGTAGTCTCCATCAGCGCAGACACTGTCTCTATCCGAGCTGACATTTCTTCCCTGCGTAAGGATGTCATGGCTACACTACGAGACATTTCCAAAGACATACGCGGATCACGCCCTGCTCGTCTTACCTCCTCAGCTTGATCTTCACATCTCTCTTTTACCTGCTCTATATATCTGTGATATCTACTATTTTGATACAGTTATATTATTTTTATGGCCTGCCTATTGGCCTAGACACTAGATGTACTATTTACTTTCTTTATTTTCTTTATGCATGGTTATATTTTGGATGTCATATCTTTGTATTGATATATCTGTCTGTGATTGACTCTATCAGGTGCATCCCAGTGACTTCAATGAGAGAGAGAGCTGCCCAAATTTTCAGGACCACCTTTATTCCTCTCTCATTATTTCATTTGACTATCTTATTTACACTTGCATGTCCACTGTGCACTGTTGTTATCCCTTTTTGTTATCTGATGAGTTTTATTCCAGTGCCATCTTTTCAGGACCACAGTTAATTCCAAGTTTGGGGGAGTTATACCACCCACTTTGAATACTTTTGTCTCGGCCTTTCTTACCTTAGTTGCACTGGTATACTCTTTCCTTTTGTTCTCTTTGCACATTGAGGACACTGTGCCATTTAAGTTTAGGGGTAATGTGTGTTTTGCAGTGTTTTGTTTTTAAATTCAAAATTTTGAGCATGACTTGTGTATTTGAGGGATTTGCTATGATTGGTCCATGACTAGCTATGATTTTGATCTTTTGAGGACTATATTGCTAAAAATTTAAAAATTGCTCAACTTGAGAGTCCAATACTCCTTGTTTGCCTTGTGGATGCCATTTAGGAGTAAATTTTTCAAAAGATTAATATCTTGCTTGCACTTATGGTCCACATCATCCTGATTTTGTGATTGTTTTAAGATTCACTCTAGGATTCTACACTAGCATAGACGCACACTAGCATTCATTTGTGGGGTACATACTTTGTTAACTATTGAATTGGTTATATCCCAATTGGGCTAGTAGTGCATTGAAAGTTTTCATTCTTGATAAAAGTGGATAACAAACCCTTTTCATTGAGTAGCAGGGATTATAGCCTCATCAAGTACTGAATTTCTCGTACCGAAAGGTGGAGGGTCCAAACTCTAGGTTAATAATTGGACTTAACAAAAAAAAAAAAAAAAAAAAAAAAAAAAAAAAAAGAAAAAGTTGCAAAAACAAATAAAAACAAGTGAGGACTTCTCCCAAAAGGTGAGAAGTGGGAAATGATTAGATGGTGATTATTTTGATTTGTAGCCTAGTTGATTTGAGCTTGTAAGTCCTTAGGGGGGTTTGAACACCTAGTGCCCTAAAGCCATTCGGTTTGGATTCATTGACCTAACGCTCAACCTCATGGATCACTAGAAAGCTTAATAGATCAACACATTGCACCATGCTTCCATCTTTGTTCCATAGAGAAAAAAAAAAAAAAAAATTTGAGTGAAAAGAATAAGCGCACCTAGAAAAATAAAGCTTTAATAAAAGGTCCACTCTTTGTCTTGATGATTAGTACTAGATTTGTGTGCTAGTTTGAGGGTAAGGATGTGATCATTTCTTTAGTTGGCTTAGATAGCAACATATTTGATGTCGGTCCACTCAAAAAGGATTCTAGAGTTGTTTTGATTTACATGATCATTTTCTTGATGTGTGGAGGACCATATTTGTTTACTTGATGTTAAGATTTTGGGAGATTGATTGGAAATGGTTAAAAAATTGCATACTTGAGGTAGTTTTCTCCCAATACTTGTTTGCAATATTGGTGCCTCTTTTGTGAAAATGACCTTAATGTTTGTGGGTATCATTTTTGGAAACCCTCAAGAGATTTCACTCGTCCACTAAGGGTAACCTAGGGGTTTAAAAGGCTTATTACATATGCTAAATGCAATCGTGTTCCCTAAGAAAGTGGCCTTATCCATTTATTGCTTTCTAGTTCATAGTTGTATAGTTGTTTATTTCATTCCTTAACTTTCTAGTTCATTGCTAGGGACTAGCAATATTTAAGTTTGGTGGTGTGATGAGCGCTGAAAAATGTGCATTTAAACCCGTTAAGCTTAGGTATTATAGGACCTTTATCTATCTTATTTTACCGCTTTAGATTGATTTCGTATTATTTTCATTTTTAGGCTCTTATCTCCAAAATAAGCTAATTCAGCCAAATAAGAGCATAATTAAAACAATCTTGAGATGAATGAAAGAAAGGAGCAAAGTGGAAACAAAATAAAGCAAGTGGTGGAAGTTCAGCAAAGTTCGATCGATCATAGAATTTCTTCGGTCGATCTGACATAGATTAATCTTTGCACTCTAAGATGGATCCAAGCTCTTTTGTCCTTATCCAAAGATCCCACAATGTTCGATCGATCCAACATTTATCAGATCAATCGAAAAAATTCCATCTTATCCTGTTGTACCACCCCACCTACCATTTTTGTCTCTTTCCCAAAATATCTCAAAAATATCTATGATTTGTCTTTATCCAAAAAGGCACCGCCATGGGAGGATCGATCCAGCCAAAGTTTGATAGATCTCAGCCAAGTTCAATCGATCTCAGCATTTGTTTAATCGATCGAACCCTCTCAAGTGTGAACTAAATTAATTTCCAGCTCATTAAAAGTTATCTCATGGTGGAATCATTGGAGGAGCCCTTGTGTACGAGCCTAGACCATTGGGTGTGACATTTAAGCTACTTATATAAGGATTATGAGCCACTTTTGCACATATGTTTTTTTAGATACAACATTTGATATCAATCTTAGAGAGGAAGAAAAGAGAAGAGGAGGCTAGAGACACATTCTTGGGAAGTTTTTTATCTACCTCAAGAAGAAGAGCATTTCTACCATGGAGAAACCCTTAAGGGTTGGAGGACACTATCCATGAGTGGCTAGACATCTTCCTGAGGCTAGAGTTAGCCCTAAACATGTCTTTTTTATCTTGATTTATGTATTTTTTAGGAGATTTGTGTTGTTATACATGTTTTGATATTTTTATATAATAAATCTTGTTTATTCAATGATTTGTGTGGTTTAATTCTTCCAATTGATCAATTCATTCTATCCATATGTTTATGTATGCTAGAATAGATGTTCATGTATTTATCTCTAGCTCTTGTGTTGTTGATGCATGTCTATGTGTCTTGATGCTATAGATCTAGAGATTGTCGAGACATACTACTTAATAAATTGCTCTTGTGGTATATTTGATGGTTCATATTCATTTCTTGATGGATTGTGCCTCTCCCTTAGTTTAATTAGTTTAATTTTCATGTCATTAGCTTAGATGTAGTGTAGTTACCTTAGTTGTTAAATGGGAGGACAATCCATACTTGTTGTTTGATGTTCCATACTTATGAATGCAAGTAGTGTATTTCTCTAATCATGTGATGTGTTTGGATTATGAGCTTAACAGAGGGATTAATGGCTTAGTTTGATATATTGTGCTATTTATTGTGTTGTTTAAACAATATATACTTAATTGGTCATCCATGCTTGTTGAAACAACCACACACGCTCATTATTGTTGCAACATATGTTTTCCTCCTCATTAATTATGAATTGAGTGTATAGAAAGGTGATACTTAGTGGTGACCTCTAAGTCCCAAGACCTCTCTTTCTTATTTTCTCTATCATTTAATTAGTTGTTTTATATTGAGCTTGTTTTGTCTTAATTGTAGTTTAATCAACCAAACCAACCACATTTTGATCACTCGACCTACTAACCCTAATCTTATTTCCGTAATAACATGACCCACCAATCCCTTGGGACGATCCCTACTCACCCTAGCTATATTTTTAGTTATAGATAGTAGTGGCATTTATAAATTTAAAACTTAGCCATATTGCACACTCACACTCTTAGTTCATCTCTTTGCAAACTTTTGGTGCAACGCGACGGCAACCACCACACTTATTTTGGGGATAAACACCTGAAAAGGGCAATAACAGGAAATTAGTCTAAAACGGGAAAGTAAGATAGATAAAGGTCCTAGAATACTCGAGCTTAAGGGGTTTAAATGCGCACTTTTCAGCGCTTATCACTACCCTCATAGAAAGAAATTTCGTCCTCGAAATTTGCGTACCTTATTCGAATAGATATGGGTACTTTCCCTTCATTTCTGACTCTGGCTCCCAAGTAGCCTCTCTCTTATCCTGATGATTCCATTGCACCTTCACTAGAGGTATCTTTGCCTGCCTCAACTGTTTCATTATGCGGTTAACAATGCGAACAGGCGTCTCAACATAGGTTGCATTAGATCGCAACTGAATCTCTGTGCAGTCAACAACATAAGTTTCATCCCTCAAGCACCTCCTCAACATGGAGATATGGGAAACATCACGAACAACTGATAGTCTGGGCAGTAAATCCAATCTATACGCCACTTCCCCAATCATCTCTATGATTTCAAAAGGTTCAATGAATCGAGGAGCTAGCTTCCCTTTCTTCCTACCAAATCTTATAACCCCCTTCATTGGTGATACTTTCAAGAACACCAAGTCTCCCCCGTTAAACACCAAATCTCAACGACGTCGATCTGCATAACTCTTCTATTGACTCTGGGCTGTACGAAGTCAATCTCGAATGATGGTAACCTTTTCTGTAGTCTCTTGCACCAACTCTGGCCCCAAAAAACTACCATCACCAATTTCGGCCAAACATACAGGTAAACGACAAGGTTTACCATAAAGTGCCTTATACGGTGCCATGCTGATACTAGCTTGATAGCTGTTATTATAAGCGAACTCAACCAGTGGCATGTGATCCTCCCAACTGCCCCAAAAATCTAGCGCACAAGCACGAAGTATATCCTCCAACACTTGAATGATCCTCTCGAACTGGCCATCAGTCTGAGGATGAAAAGCAGTACTCAAACTCAAAGGAGTACCAAAAGTTGCATGAAAACTACTCCAAAACTGATATGAAAAACGAGGATCACGATCTGAAAAAATAGACACTGGCACTCCATGGAGCTTAACTATGTCTCTGATGTAGATCTTACACAATTCTTTTATAGTATCAGTAGCTCGAATGAGTAGAAAATAAGCTGATTTAGTTAATCGGTCCACTATCACCCACACTATATCATGGTTATGTATCGACCTCGGTAACCCCACAACAAAATCCATCGTCACATGTTCCCATTTCCACTCAGGCACGAGCAAAGGCTATAATAGTCCTGTTGGTCTTTGGTGCTCAGCCTTCACTCGCTGACAAGTGAGACATCTAGACAACTTTGCCACATCATGTTTCATGCCTTCCCACTAGAATTGCCTTTTAAGACCATGATACATTTTAGTGCCACTTGGGTGCACTGTGTACCTAGAGTGGTGTGCCTCATCTAAAATCTCTCTCTTGAGGTCTACTAAGCCTAGAACACATAGTCTACCTCAAAATCTCATACCACCATCAGCTCCATACGTCTAGTCGATATTACCTTCATCATTAACAACCCCTACTGCCTATCATCCTGAGTCTGAGCATGAATGATCCGGCTGATCAAAGTAGGTTGTACAGTCAAACTACAAAAAAGAGCCCCTATACTCCAACAACTCGGCATGATAGAGAACTTTGCCAATGCCTCTAACATCATTCACTCTTGAATCATCATAAAAGCAACTAATCCTCTCAGTTTCTGACTCAAGGCATCTGTTACCACATTTGCCTTCCTAGGATGATACTGAAGGGTCATATCAAAATCCTTCATCTTCTCCATCCACCTCCATTGCCTCATATTCAACTCTTTCTGAGTGTAGAGGTACTTGAGGCTCTTGTGATCAGAGAATAACTTAAATTTCTCTCCATACAAGTAATGACTCCATACCTTCAATACAAGAACCACTGCTGCCAATTCCAGGTCATGTGTAGGGTAATTTTGTTTATGTGGCTTAAGCTGCCTAGAGGCATATGATACCACTTTACCATCTTGCATAAAAAAATAGCCAAGACCCTAATGTGATGCATCTGTGTAGATAATAAATCTCTCACTACTAATAAGAATGGTAAGAACTGGTGCTGAAGTCAATTGCGTCTTCAACTCCTTAAATGCCTGCTCACTACGGTGATCCCAAACAAACTTTACATCCTTCCGAGTCAAACAGGTCAATGGTGCAACAATCTTAGAAAAACCCTCAATAAAGCACCTGTAATATCCTGCCAGTCCCAAGAAGCTACGAATCTTAGTGACAATAGTAGGCCGTTTCCAACTCATCACAGCCTCCACCTTAGCAAAATCTACTGAAACTCCATCGTTAGAGATCACATGCGCCAAAAATTGAATCTGCTTCTGTCAAAAGTCACACTTCTCAAACTTAGCATAAAGTTGATGCTCACACAGAGTCTAAAGTGTAATGCTCAAGTGTCTCTCATGCTCCTCATTAGTCTTGGAATATATCAGAATGTCATCAACAAATACCACAACAAACTGATCCAAGTAAGGTCGAAACACTCAGTTCATCAAATCTATAAAAGCTGTCGGAGCGTTAGTTAACCCAAAAGGCATGACTAAAAACTCATAGAGGCCATAACGAGTCCTGAAGGATGTCTTAGGAATATCCTCCTCCCTAATCCTCAACTGATGGTACCCAGTCCTCAAGTCAATCTTAGAGAACAACTGCGCCCCTCTGAGTTGATCAAACAAATCATCAATGCATGGTAATGGGTATTTATTCTTATTAGTGACCTTATTCAGCGCAGGTAGTCAACACATAAGCGAAGTGACCTATCCTTCTTCTTGACAAATAGAACAGGTGCTCCCTAAGGTGATGTGCTATATTGAATAAACCCCCGATCTTGTAACTTTTGAGTCTACTTCTTTAACTCACTCAATTCAACTAGCACCATTCTGTAGGGTACCCTAGAGATAGGTGAAATACTAGGAGTGAGGTCGATGCAAAAATCCACTGCCCTCCTATGAGGCAAACTTGGAATATCCTGAAACACATCTGCATACTTTGACACTGTAGGCAACTACTCTATATTCACGCATTGCTCAACCACCTCAATATGGGTGAGAAATCCCACAGTTATGGTGCCCTCGAATTCCCCACACTTATATCGAGAAGGTAACTATCTTGGAACTAAGAATACAATAATCCTTTAATGACAGTCCAACTGAGCATGATATCTAGCCAACCATTCCATACCCAATATAGTGTTAAAGTCCCTCATCCATATTACCATCAAATCAATTGGATACTCCTACTCCCCAATTGTAACAGGACAAGCACGACATATTCTATCAAGTGTCGTCGCGCTTTCGAGTGGAGTTGGGTATTACTCATATTTTCTTTTCCTTACTATCACTGTCTTTAGCTAGGTAATTCTTAACCTAGGCTCTGATACCAAACTGTCACACCCAAAATTTTAACACAAGGACTTTTTGTCCTATATGTAAAATCTGAAGTATAACTTCCACCAATTGTAACATACATCCACTAAAAAAAATAAAAAAATAATAACTATACCAAATCTCCATTATCCAATTTATTAAATAAGAGTGTCTGGCAAACATATACCAAAATATAAATAGAGGTGAAATTCCCTCTAACATAATAAAACATATATGACCACTGAGTCAACCCGATAAAGTTTCACAAAACATTAACTTTATTACAATGATCATAATAAAGGAAAACCGAGCTAAAATAAATAAATGCGCAACGAGATAATATCCATCACCGCCATATGATCTCATCATGTTCCTACTAAACGTGTACCTGAAATATAATAATGGGGTGAGCTCACAAGCTCAGCAAGAAATGCTAAACACAATCATTGTTCAGCAAGCTAACCTAACCTTGTATTCTCATATATATAAGCAACTTAAATAAGTGCATTAATAAATAAAATGCTTAACTCTAGTTAATTATAAACTCAATAAATAACCATCATTTACTTTTAGTAAATCCACATATCTCATATGAGCCCCGGGCTCCCATCCAATAAAGTGGTCTAAATCATATAGTCCCGGACTACCGAAAACACACATGTGGCTGGATTGTACGTCTACTCCCTAGATGATCCCTAATCACATCCACACAATAAGGGCTCATTAGACCCATGGCCATAATAAAAGGGTAGTGCACTCCCAAATAGGCAGGTCCCTGACCATACCCAAAAGTCATCATAGGATCAGTCCTTAACTACCCCTCCGACTATTCCAAACTTATCAATTAATTATTAATTATGGTAAATTATGAAAGACATTATTAATTAATAATTAATACACTCAAATACACTTTTAATTTAAAAAGACAGAACCCTAAAGACATAACTAGTGAGAGTACAAAATTTATAGACATAGCCTAACCTTATACATATGACCCTGCAAAATTTCAGAATCTAACTCTTAATAGTTTTTCGGTACTCTCCCTTTTAGTGTTGAGAAAAAAAATACTTTTTCAGTTTTAATTTAGTTAACCTACCTAAACATCATATAAAATCAGTAAGTTATCACATTTAAGTCCATTATAATAAAGTCTAATATTCTAGAATTTACTGTAATTGTTGAAATATGAAAACTATTTCTTTCCTATTTTTCTTTTGTTTAAATCAAATAATAATAGTAATTAATTAAAAGAAAAAAGATTCTGTTTTGCACAGGAGACCCATTTTTGGGGTCTCCTTCCCCAACTTGTTCTACTTAGATTACCATTACAGATCAGTTTTCACAACCAATCCACCTAAATTACGTACCCATGAAGTCTACACATTAAACCAGTCATTTTAATACATACTGTTCTATACCTAAAGATGATCCCAGTTCTAATAATACTTGAACTAAGCCTTGACAAAGTATATATCATACATATATAAATCTATCTATAAGAACTCAAGCATAATCATTGATGTATTGTACTCGTATATGAAGATTCCATACGATTCTTGAAACTAGTCCTCACATGAGGCTACATATATTGCCATGTGTATCACACATCTTTCATCTATTCTAGAAAATAACTATCGTTCATTACTCAGAACCAATAAGTTTTATAGTCATATTCATTAGTCATGGTCAGTATACATTTGCATCAAGTCTTTTGATCATTGCAATTTATCATTGCAAAACTAGGTTTCATTCGCTGGACTAATAAACATTTATAATATTGTCATAAGAAATTAAGAACAGAAAGTCATAAACAAACAAGCTAATTTCAAGGATTTATGAAATTCACGTATACATATCTTCATTTCCCAGTCATCATTAGATTAATTTACTGCAATAGATAAAAACATGCTACAATCCTAATAGGCAAAGTTACATGTGTATATAAGTATACAATGCAAGATTAACTTGCCTGGGGTATAGCTAATTCTTCTTTCCTACGCGAATGCTTGATTACCGTTCCTTCTCTCGGTTACTGTAGAAAGGCATAATGTCAAAACTTTATTCTCTCTGGGTTTCCTTCCTCTCACGTTGTCATACTAATTTTTATTTTATAAAATATAACATAGTGTAGAGTTATAGAGATGT